ATTCTTGAAAGATAGCCTACAAAATACAAACTGGAATGAAGTGTGGGGGTGGGGTTGCCATAAAAGACCATGAACCAGATTCTTTTTCACTCTTAGGAGTGCTTTTTCCTTTCTTAAAGAGCTGTCTTTTTTTTTTTTTTGACCCAAAGACAAACCTGTTTCCCCAGCCATCCCCACCACCATTGATGTATTTATTTTCCTGCCAACCCCTGCGGAAAATCACTGCAGATTCTGTACATTTCCATCTACTATGAAAGGAGAGTGATGTTTGACTGTATTTGAAGTCATAAAATGATGACAACTGTTTTTCCAAACATAAAATGTCATTATTCAGTTTTCCATATAATCTCTGTCTTGGGGGAGAAGCTGATAATTTCCTCACTTCTTTAAAGTATAGCTAGTGTATAAATATGAAAGTTGAGCTATCCAAGGTCAACAGATGGAGAGATGACTGTCACTGACAAGATAGTTGGTTACTCACAGTTCCCAGAAGGAAGGGGAACATGGTGCCTCAGGGTAAATTTGGACAGCAGGGAAGCACCAAGTTTGGTGAGGAGGCAGAGGGATGCCTTTGGAATGGATGGAGGCCAGAAGGCAGTTTTAGTATGGCTAGCTTGACAGTAACAAGGTCGGCCAGGCAGTGGTGGCTGCACACCTTTAATCCCATCACTCAGGAGACAGAGACAGGTAGATCTCAGTAAGTTCAAGGCTAGCCTGGTCTACAGAGCTAGTTCCAGAACAGCCAGGGCTACACAAAGAAACCCTCTCTCGAAAAACAACAACAACAAAAAAGTAACAAGGGTCAGGTCTTCTGGTGTTTGGCCTAGGCGTGACAAGGATAGATGGGTAACAGTTAAATTCCAGGTAAATGTTGACCATTTCTGATGATGGGCTCAGAATGGGGGAAGTCTATTCAGGACCTGCAAAGCCTCCAATATCAACGTATCCGAATACAGACAAAAAAAGAAGCAGATAACAACCTAGGCCTCTTTGATAGCATTGAAAAATCTCTTTGCCTCAAAAATAAGCACTCAATAAATGGCAATGTCTTTGTTAGCTTTTCCCCCTTCAACTTTTGAGACTGGGTCTCACTACATAGCCTGCAGCCTGCTATGTAGTTCAAGGTAGTCCCAAAGTTGAAGCAATCTTCTTGCCATCAAAGTCCCAGGACTGCTTCACACATTCTGTGGGTGAATGCCATTTTTTTATTGAGTGTCAATTGTTCCCTATCAGACAAAACCATGAAAGACTAGTCCCAGCTGAATACATCTAACAATCAGGCTACACAGATAATCCACGCAAAGCAGTGTCAGCATCAAACAGCCACATAAATAATGTGCACCAGCAGCCCTGCAGGTGCCGGCTAACTCCTGGCTGAGATGTTCTTGGAAGAGCTGGAAAAAGCTCACTGTAGGAGGAGATAAAAGCAGAGGGACATTGTACCAAAATTCAGCTCCAAGAGGTCTGTGGCTTGCTTCATCTCGGCTCCCATTTGCTCTCTGCATAGATCTCAGCACATGATGGCTCAAAGTCTTGGATGAATGAAGATGAATTTTGGAACCCAAATATGGTGGGACCTGCTATCTCAGCACTCAGGCGGGTGGATAGTGTTGAGTTGAAGGTTAATGTGGGCTAGATGGGAGGATCCTGTAGGAAGTGGGGGTGGGGGTGGGGGGCTGGGAGGTGGGAGAGGGAAAGAGACAAAGATAGAGAGGGAGAGGGAGAGGGAGAAATAGTGTGAGAGAGGGTGTTCTGGGTCTTAAAAGGGGGTGGATTTTAAAGGATTTTAAAAGAGATAATTTGAATAACAAAGAAATGTATTCGGAAGTGGGATTGTAACTTTCATTCCTGCAAGAAGCAGATACTTGAGACAAAGCCGAGGTGAGTGTTCCAGGTGAGGCTAAGAGTCCTTGGAACTTGGACAGCAGCCACAGAGACAAGAGATTTGAGAGAGGCTCCCAGGAATCCCTGGTGTTGAAATCAGTGATCTTGTGTTTGGGAGATATCAGCTTCAGGTCTGCAACCCCAATCTATTCCTTCATTCCCTTTAGTGGCCTTTCCTTTGTTTGATGCGTTAATTAAAGTGCTCCGAGCAAATGGCTTTCCCAGAAAAAGTGAGTTTTCGTTCGATCTATTATAAACTCAGTGATAGAGCATAAATAGGACTTACTGGGAAATCATGTAAAAGTATAACAACCAGTTAACCATATGACTTTCCAGAAATAGGTACAGACTGGCACTCGGAGAAACCACCTGAAGAATGCTTATGTCAAATTCTTCCTTCTCTATTTGCAACTGCCCTTCAAGGGGAGACGTGTGTGATACAGTGGAAAAAGCTGTTGACCACTATTGACCTCCCTGGGTCACAGTAAGGTTGAGAATAGTATGCAAACTCTGCCTGAGGACTCTACGAGGTGTGGACCTTGAGGCTCCTGACGGTTGGCTTCTGCTGGCGGGTAGGAAAAAGTCAGAAGACTTCTTGGTTAGTTGTGCTGAGGGTGAAATGAAAGCTTTGCGTTTCTATTAAGTCCTTCACACCTGCACAGCTCCACTTTAAGCTTTGGGGGATTGTTGAGACACTCTAAGTAGGAGACTGGGAGACTGGGTTGGGTGGGGGATAGAGGCTGGGGGAGGGGAGGAGTTCTGCAGAACCAATGATCTCTAAGTCTGTGTCTTCAGATGAAACACTCCCCTTCAGGGATGCTGGTAACAGCACGGGGAACGAAAGTGCTTACACTGAGGTGTGCTACTGTCACTTATGAGATGTGGGGGAAGACAACCGGGCGAGTAGTCTCCAGGCTGCTCCTTGCTGCATTGCCCTCCTGGCTCTCTTGGTTTACTGGCCACGGGCTTGCAAGAAATAACTCTTTGAGGAAACGCAAAACAAACAAAAACAAAACAAAACTGTGATGTGGGGTTACAACTAACTAGCTAATGAGAGGCTCAGGCAGGAATCTGGATAGCTATAATAAAGCGTTCAGAGCTGGGTGAGAACTCTGGAAACTATTGCCAAGGGAGGGGAGGCTCAAGAGGATGAGGGGGCACCTGAGGTTCCCTGGGGCTGAGAGGGGAGGAAGCAAAGGTGAGAAGTACACACTAGACTTTTCCTTTCTTTCTGTTCTCTCCTTCCTTTTAAAAGAAACAAAGGCTCAAGATTTCCTTTTTGGGTGTTTTCGGCCCATTGTATTTTTATAATAATAGCATCATAGGAAGACTGACCTGCAAGAATTTGGTGTTCTGTAGGCTTCAATGACAAAGGTGCAAAATCTGAGAACATTGTGGTAGCAAGTATTTACAAAGATCTAAGGCATTCAAGGGAGAACCAATTTATTTCTCATGAATGGGTCAGAGAGAATGGAGCATTTGATCTGTCTGAGGGTTGGCATTGTCTGAACGGCTCTAGGTATGATGACAGATGAATGGATGAATGGTCTGTATGAGAAAACACAAGATGCAGGTACTAATTGAAAGCCTGGGATGTGAAATTAGATCTATATGGGGTGAATCTTGGCTCGTGTGTCAATGGACAAATACAGTATTTCTAGAACCAAATAGCAGGGATTTGTTAAGGGTTTGCACAGTGCCTGGCCCAGGGTGAATGTGAAGGTGTTATTAGTTTATCTTTGCAAATCTTGACGATTACTCAAGGGGCTGTTGTCTTTGTAATTCTGACTGGGGTGAAATGTAAGCACTAAGCAGGAGAAGCAAAATGTGTTACTGTGACTAAGAGGAGGGCATGCACTTACATTTGGGAGCTCTGCAGTATGAGGCTCTATCAGGCTGAAGAAAGGTTGCTGGTTCCTTTTAGAGCAGTGGTTCTCAACTTTCTGCTGCTGCAACCTCCTGCTGACCCCCAACTGTAAAAATTATTTCCTTGCTTCTTCATAACTGTAATTTTGCTACTATTATGAATCACCATGTAAATATCTGATATATAGAGTATCTGACATAAGATCCTTCAACTCCAGAGGGTCTCCACCCACGGGTTGAGAACCACCGTGCTGGAGGTTCAAGGATAATATGCTTTCTTGTCTCTCTTCCTTCTTCTAGAGTCAGCCTCCATCTTGGACGTAGGCGCCGTCACCCAACGTCAAGGCCGGTGAGAGAACGGCTGATCTGTGCCTTGCTCTTGGTTTCCCTCTCTCACCCCAGTTTAACGACTTCACATTTGTAACAGCATTTGATATTACATTGATCCCACGGGGATAATTCAGGCTCATCACTGTCCCAAGAACCAATTTTTCTTTATCATCTCTAAAAAGTCCTTTTTGCCCTGGAAGGGAACATAGTCACAGCTTCTGGGATTCCAATGTGGACATTGCTGGTTGTCAGCTATTTAGCCTGTCACAGGTACTCAAGGAACCAAAAAGAAATTTTCAAGAAGAAAATACTTGAAAACTGCTGAAGAGAATGGCGGATAATAGCTATGAAAACATTAGTCAGCAATATAGTGAAGGCAGACATTAAGATGACAAGACATACCCGTGACCCCAGTCCCAGAGATCCTCAAAGGTGCGGCTAATGTGAATGGCTGCCTCCCTCATGCTCCCAGGATGTCTCTGAATTTTCAACAGTGTGTGTCTATCATTATACTCTTTTTTTAAAATTTGAGATAGAACCTCACCATGCAGCCTAGGATAGCCTCAAACTCATGACCCTCTTATTTTAGCCTCCCAAATACCAAGATTACAGGTGTGCACCATCTGGTCTTCTCACCTTTTCCTGCCTTACTTCTTTTCTGTGCCAACATGCTGTCACAAGACCTGATTCATGTGACTTTGTCATGAAACTTTGTTATCCTATGAATCTCAGTTTTAAATTTTGGCTTAGTCTCTCCCAAACTCGATGATGTTGGCCCAGGTACTTAATCCCTTTGTATCTGAAATACCTAATTGTAGTTTGAGTGTGTCATATCCCTCGAGGGTTCAGGTATTGGTGGGCTTTGGTGTGGAAATGCTACATGATGAGATTTTTTTTGAAGGTCTTCATTATTTTCTTCATTATGTACAAAGACTAGCATGATCTGTTTCACTGGGTAGACAGTCTTGAATAATCCATTCAAGGTTCATTAGTCCAACTTAATGAAGCCTATGCCCTTCAAGTACTGACAGAAACACTGATGGCACATGCTCAGCCCATATTTCTGGATCAGGTCGTGGCGGTTATAGCAGATGAGGCAAGAGTGAGAGCCCTGACCGAACTTCTGTGGGTGACTCCAGTGGAGGTGCTGGTGACCCATCTTGCCTTCAGTCGGCCAAAGAGCCAGAGTGAGATCTTTAAGGGATGAGGCCTATAGGAAGTTGATTATATCATTTCCACCTTAGAAGAGATTCCTGCATTTATTGAGAGACCCAGTGAGTTGTTACTTGTGTGTATACATTTGTGTGAATGTACATGTTCACACACACACACACACACACACACACACACACACACATACCCTGTTCCAGAACCCCTCTTGTTTCTTGTCATTCCATAGTGCCTTTACCATACTGTAATACAAGCAGAATGTCTTCACCAGAGGACAAACTGTTGTGGAATGTTACCTTAACTAGGCAAAGATGTGTTATATTTGTTTATTCTGCATTTGTTTAATTCTGTAAAGATGTGTTGCTGTTTCACTTTGACTGCCTAAGGCACCTGATTGGTCTAATAAAAAGCTGAACAGCCAATAGCTAGGCAGTAGAGAGATAGTTGAGGCTGGCTGGCAGAGAGAATAAGTAGGGGGAGAAATCTAGACTCGAGGAGCGAGAAAAGAGAGAACCAGGGAGAAAGTGAGGGAGACACCTGGGGCCAGCCAAGCAGCCACCCGCCAGCCAGACACAAAGTAGAACATGCAGAAGGAAAGAAAGGTTAAAAACACGGAGGTAAAACACAGATGAAGAGAAACAGGTTAAGTTATAAGAGCGAGCAAGAAATAAACCTAAGCTAAGGCTGAGCATTCTTAACCAATTTGGGAACTGGTTGGTGGCCCAAAGAAAGCCGGCTACAACAAGTAGCTACTGAAACTTCTGCCAACACCAGTGTGAGCTAGCATCATTCTTACCAGAGCTGCATATCCAGTTACCAGGAGGAAACTGAGTCTCCAGCACCCTACACTGCATCTGCCACTCTAGAAATATCCTTTCTCCCACTGCACCCTCATTACCTCCCTCATGATAACATAGGCTCAGCTAGGACCTAGGGATAGAGCAACCATATGAGATAAATGCTTTCTATCTGTTTCCAAGGCACAACGAGACCCAGAGAATTCACTTAATTGACCAAGCCCATATACTTCAAGATGACAGAGCTGTGGCCAGACTTCTGTGTCTGTGACTGGCAAGGACATGGAACCACAGTGTACATTTTATTGCCAACAGATTACCATTCGAGTTTCTTGCTACTTATTTTCAAAAGTAGAGTAGCCAAGACATTTGTTTGTTTTTCTTGGAAAATAACCACAGTAAGAACCATACAGGGCAAAGCTTTTACTTTGAGTGTGGTCCTTGCTTTTTGTTCTGGATGTCCGCAAGCATCCCTTGAAGAGCCACCCAGCCCCTGCTGCGTGTGGCCTGGCATGGAGTCAAGCAGAAATCCTGCTCTTCTCACCCTGAGGTCCTTGGCAGGTGGCCAGCCCTCAGCTCTGTGCTCGTGCTCACTGTAGTTTCTGCTGGCCTGGTCATGTGAAGGGATGAGTGACTAAAGGACATGGAAGCCATGATTCATAGGAAGGAGAGTAAAAAATCAGCTCACACACCCTTAGTGATGATTTGTGTTAAGGAGAGGTGGTACCTGCCAGCCTTTTCCTCTCCTGAGGGAGAAGATCTGTGTCCGCTTTTGACCAGACATGGCTCTGAGAAGATAGGGCTTAGCCAGCAGAAGACTCTTTGAGGCAACGAGAGAAAGGTGCTACTGGGCAAGTCACATGCCAAGGCACAAAGCTTGCTATGAAGGCCATGAGTTGCCCTTTGACACCTGCTTGCCTACGGTAGTTTTGTACCATGGCTGAGAGCTTTGGGTAGGTTTGAACCATACTTCAACCACCACACACCTTGCTGTGTGACCTTAGCCTCCTATTTCACAGGTTCCTGTGAGGAAGGATGCAGTGATTTAACACACGTCCTAGTCATCACAGGCCCAATCATGTTAAACCTGACACCAGTGTGAGCTAGCAGTGTTCTTACGAGAACCACAGCTATAGTTACCCGGAAACTGAGTCGCCATCTATCCATATACCAATTCAAGGACTAGAAAAGATCCTACATTATCCTACACTGCCATTGGCACTCTTGAAGTATCCTTGTAACCCCACTGACCTCCCTCATGGGAACTAAGTACTAAGCTGGCAGGCACGCTGCAGGCTCTGACACATTCTTCATGGCAGCAGGATGAATCTTACGGAACGTGCTTCTCCAGACCTGAGACGGGAGGTCAATGCAATATGGAACATAATATATTTATTTACATATAAGCTGAGAGGACAGAAAGCGTGTAAGGCTTCCAGAGAAGAGAGCTCCCTTTCCCTTTTCTCGTTCACTTCCTTTTATCCTCACCTGTGCTAAATTTCCCTATCTCTGCCCTTATGGGCATGAAGAGTTTTGTGGGCTCACCCCTACACAGACCAAAGCTGAGCTGTCGAAACAAAGAAATCTGAAACTGTTGTGGTCTACAACAGATGGAAGTTTACAGTTCAGGATTACTACCAGCACATATGTGTTGGGGAAGTCCTGTTATTTGCCTGTGCATTTGTCAATAAAGTACTGTCTGGCCAATAGAAAACCTAGATAGGAGGGACTAGGAGTTGAGGAGGATTCTGGGAAGGGGAAACACAGGAGAGTTCGACATGTGACGCCATGGGGGTAGGACGCCGGGAACTATTCTCCGGTAAGAAACATACTTAGATTAACAATTATGGGGTAATTACTTAAGGCAGAGCTAGCCAGTAAGAGACAAGCAAGGCCAACAGCTTCATAATGAATATAGCCTCCTGTGTGTTTATTTGGGACTCATGCGGATCTAGAACCAGGCTGGCACGGCAGAGCCCAGGCGACTGGCGGGGGATAAACCAAAGCGGCTAGCAAAAGAAAAAGCTTCTCTTAACACATATGGGGCCAGAGGAAGAGATGCTCAACCTTCAGACTATTTCTCCAACAAGGTGTTTGGGTTCTCCCCAGTTAAAAGTAGACCGGGAAAGATGGCTCAGTGGGTAAAAAGCACTGGTTGCTCTTCCAGAGGACCGGGATTCAATTCTCCCAGCAGCCCCATGGCAGCTCAAGACTATCTGTAACTCTAGTTCCAGGGCTTCCAACCCTCATACAGACATACACACAGTCAAAATACCAATGTAAATAAAATAGAAATAAATTATTAAAAATGTGCCTGGCTACAGGGGAAAAGAAAAAGTGTCATGTGCCAGATGTTTTGAAATGCCTGGAAAATGAGACTCACTTACATGATCTCTGAACTTTAGATAACATTTACTTTTTATTCATTCACTTTATTACATTTATTTCTTTATTTTGTGTGGGGATGTGGGGGTGGGGTGTGTGTGTACCACACAGCATGTCTGTAGAACAGAGGACAACTTGTGAGAATCAGTTCTCTATGGGTTGATAAGTCTAGGCAGCAAACATGTTTACCCACTGAGCTATTGCACCAGCTCCAAGAAAACATTTTCAACATAGTCTGAGTTCTAATCAATATGGAGGCTGCTGCAGTAGTTCGAGTCTCGTTGCTATCATGAACTATCTGAGGCAATGAAATTCTAAGGAGAAAAGGCAGGCTTAGCTCCAGTTGTGGACAGTCAAAGGCTGGAAGCTCAGGTCTTACAGAGGAAACTAGTGGACTGGGCCTGTCATAGCATTAGCTGGGGCAGTAGGAAGCATTCTGGGATCAGTACAGAGAGAGGCAGATGGGACTCCCACAATCCCCTTCTAATAGGGGAAGTCCTTCTGTGTATATGTAAATAAAGCACTGTTGGCCAATAGGGAAGCAAGATAGGTGGGACTAGGAGTCGAAGAGGATTCTGGGAAATGCAGTCAAGGGAGAGTGGTCGCCATGTGATCCCTGTAGGAAAGACCGCAAGTCTGGAATTCTCGGAAAGATAAGTCCTTATAAAAATATATATTAGTAATTATGAGTTAATATTTAAGTCAGAGCTAGCCAATAAGAAATCAAGCAATGGCCAACAGCTTCATAATTAATATAGTGTCCTGTGTGTTATTTGGGGGCTAAAGCAGCAACGGGACCCAAGTGGCTGGCAGGAAGATTACATGTTACACCATTCAATAGAGCTTCCAATGAGTTCCCAGTAGGCTTTACTTTTTTAAGGTACACAGCACCTTTTAAAACGACCATCCAGCAACGAAACCATCTTACATTCGGGTCATTCATACTTCCAGCATGTCCTTTCAGACACTTTCCCCCTTAAGCCCTAACAAAATGAATAAATGCATTCAAGAAATCAGCCCTTAAAAGTGTTTTTGTTTGTTTGTTTTTTGTAGTGACTAGGTCAATATGCCTTGAGTGAAGAGGAAGCTGTCTCTACCCTGAAGTGCAGTTAGACATCTGTCTGCAGCGGTCTTCTGTGCCGATTAGAGTGGACCATAAATATTCATGAGGTAGAAGGTGGTAACGAAGAAAACACCAATAATTGTTGATTGTTATTAGCCATAAGTGGGGCTGACACAATGATCTTATTATTCCCAAGAAATGGCATAAATGTTGATTACACACACACACACACACACACACACACACACACAGTGATGTGCATATGAGACAAAGCATAGACTACACACATATAATGAGTCTTTATTTCACCATCTGCTCTTGAATTTCTTATTTAAAAATCTCTGACACATGAGGATTTGTGATGGAGGAAGTTGGCAACCATGTGGCATTCATTCTCCAGGGAGCGTGGCGGCCACCGCATCCCACCAGCAGCGGCATGGTGCAGAGGTGGGCCCTGTCCCTCTCTGCCACTGACACTCCTGTCTCCACACAGTGTGACTCATTGTCACTCTTTTCAGGTTGGAGGTATCTTCGGAGAACCATTGTCCCAGGAACAAATAGAACAATACAATATTTCCATTGTGTCAGACAACTGAGGGAGTATGTACCACTTAGCACCCAGCACGTCTTAGTGTATTCGTTGGGATAATGGTTAAGTGGCAATAAAACATGGTTTAAAAAAGGTTGGTGGCTTAAGAGGGATACCTTTGCTCTTTCCAAACAAGCCAGGCCTTTCGTGCTGGT